TGTGTTTCTTGTACTTTTTCTTTGGCTGGTATTTTTCTGCATGTTTGTTTGTTTTGTCCTATCCTGGTCTGTCCGTTTTTATTGTTAATTTTTAGATGGCCAGTTTTCTAATAATGAAAGAGAGAAAGAAGGAGGTAGAATTGGGTGGAAGGGGAGATAGGAAGAATCTAAGAGGAGTTGGGAGAAAGGAAACTAAACAGTATATATTGTATGAAAATATCTAATTTCAATAAAAAATAAAATTGGAAAAAATAAATACCAGAAAATTTTAAAACAAAACAATCCTATTGAAGAGACTCTGGATTATTTCTACTGACCAAACACTCACCGTTAAGGAAAAGATACAGAAAGAGGCGTCCAAACCTAGCTTACTCAGCCAGATCTACTTACGGAGTGCTTGAACTCATTTAATTGCATCTGCAGGTTCTGGGACTTGTCCAGCTCCTTCTTCATCTCATTCAGGGACCGTTTGTACTCGGTGACCTCGAGGCGCAGTGAGCGGCGCTCTACCTCCGCTGCGTGCAGCCTTTGTGTAAATCCAAATATCTGCTTTTGTAATGATGCAGTACTTTTCTGTGGTTAAATGAGAGGACATTTCCAAACATGAGCTACAGGTTTACTAACGACTCAGCAGCAATGAGCGTTTGGCTAAATTAAATTTAACTCAAACATTACACAAAAAATAATACTAGCTATTTCTAAACCCAGTAAACTTATTCAAGGAGCTTTAATTATTTTATTAAAAGTTTATGTGAAACTAAATGATTCATATGCAATTGATTTAAACTATAAGTAAGTCTGACACACATTCTAACCCACAAACCCTAAAGTCACTACTAAATGAAATAGCACATACCATAATGGGCACATGGCTGCGCAGACCATACTTGAGGGCCAGCGTGTTCACTTTGTGAAGTCCACGGGCCAGCCTCTGAACCAGGGAATCCTTTTCTACGTATGTTATGCTCCGGCTGCTACGCAGAGGTATGCTTTCCATTGCCAAACTAATTTTATCCATTAGTTTTGCAAAAGAACTCTTGGCTGCACCTATGAGTAAATGTCCACAAATTCTGGAATTTGGATCTTCAAAGGAAAAAAAAAGTACAAGATATGAGTTGCCTCATGTTAATTTTATAATGTTACTGATCGAAATAGAATTTTTCAGTCATATAGTCCTCATGCCTTTACAGTCCCGTCCCCACCAAGCTTTCCTGTAAAAAGCTGAACACAAGCTTGGCTCACTATTGAACAGTACTTCTGCAGAAAACCTCCTCAATCTACAGTCTGACCTTCACATGGAACATCACTCAGAAAGCCACCTTCCCTTTCCTGCTCTAAAACTGCATAGAAATTTGGTTTCTAATCATAATTATGACCACTTATCAAATGGGGCCATAATACTTAAATTCTCAGACAAGAAAACACAATTTTCTTTGTTCAGAAGAGTTAAAATTCTACAACTATAATTACTTATTTCCCTGTGGGATTTCAGTAATCATCCTGTGTCGAATGACTTGAGGGTCCTTGTTTATGCTACACAACCTGATTACTACCAGATCATTAGGTCTGTAATTAATAACTCTGCTTAATGATGATAAACAAAACCGTCACTGCTCTTCCTACTAACTGATATTCCAGATAGGGTTAATAGGCTTATTTTTGCCTTCATGAAGGTTATGTAATTTCATTTTCCCTATTCTAACCAGGTCTTAATCTGTCCTTACTTATCTTATGATGCTATCCATGTGAAATGACCAGCACTGAGAGAGTCTTCAAATCCAAATCTAGTCATGTACATTCTACGTTTCAAGAGTCTCTACTACTGGAGTTAATTTAAATTTTGCTTTTCTATCAGAAGGGCAATGTTACCAAATCAGATTGTACTGTGTTAATTGTGGGATTATATACAGTTCAAAACGAAAGAGCAACAATGACCAAGGGCAATCAAGGTTTCCCACAGCATTAAGAACGGCCTCACCAAAACTCTGCATTCTACCTTACGGATACTCTGTATTCTAAAACTTGAACTGTATTCTATTTCTTCTATTCCTCAGTGTATAAATGGAAGGACAAACTTTATATGCTACGTAACAGTCAAAATTTGAAAATCACACTGCTTCAGAGCATACATAAATTTTTGTATATATTACAGTGCATATAAATTTTATTCTATTAATTGTTAGTGCATTGACTTTTGAGAATACAATGTAATATATTTTCATTCTATATGATACTTATTATAAACATATTCTCAAAGAATGTCATGGACAAAGTCATACAAAGTTTAATTAAAATACATAATTCTTTTGTTAATAATGAGTCATTTAGTAAGTAATGAATGACAAAAAATTTACTAGCACAATTAGATGGCATTCAACACATAAAGTAGAACACTTAAGTTAAATAACTAAAAACAAAATATATTAAATAATTCACTGCACAATGAATGAACAGGAAAATTTAATTTTCTCCTAATATTCAATATGATACATCATTTCATCATCAAATACACATATTCTCTGTGTCTGCAGTTGCACTGTATTTTTAATTGTCCCCTTTCATTTCCAACTGTCCCATCTTCACTACGCCAGGCCAGCATATATGGATATTTTTACATATTTGTTGGATTAATACATTCCATTTTACTTCCATAGCAGCTGCAACAATACTGAATTCAACAATGCATCCAAAAATACCAAGAAAAAATAATATTCACTTTCATGTTATATCAAAAAATACTTTTTAAGCAGATATAAAATCTGATATTAAATCAGATTTTTAAGTAATACAAAAGTAATGGCACTTTCAATAAAAAGAGCTTTAAAATAAAAATTCAACTACAATTAAATTATAATACATAGTGGTTGGTTGGTTTGTTTTTACTGTATCACTGAAATGTGTTTGGTAGAAACCAACCCCTAGGAAACAGAAAATTAGATGACAATACAATTCCACAAGGCATTCTTCTGAATTTTTAAGAAGTTAGGAAAAGACACATTCCAAGTCCCTGAGTTTTGACCATCATGAACTATAGTCAGAGCACTAAATAATTGATGTTTTAAGAAGCATTTTTATAATAGAGCCCACATTTTATCATACGAAATACAATTTTATAATAAAAAAGGAAAGGATACTGTACCGCCAGAATTACATATTTATTTGCATGACAGAGAACAAAAGTCACTAGAAACTCTCCTGTTTACTTGTCCCAACTATTTTAAAATTTATACCTGTTAAAAACAATTTTTCTTTATGTTAAAAGAATTTACTAATCATTTTGCCAACTTAGAGAATGTGACCTTTATAAGAAGCAGATCACAGGTTACACAATTACTTTCCACAATAGAATAGGCACACTTTCACATCCACAAACAAATCTTCAAAACAAATTCCTAAACAGCCAATTGGCCTAGCAATTCTAACCCTGAAGGTTGCAGGACTCCGGGAGGAGACAGGGGCTCCTGCAGGAGTCCTGTCCTTCAGCTGCAGCAAGTGCAGCAGCTTGACCTTTATTTGTCATAACAAAATACAGACATGAATGACATGTCCGTGATGCTTCTAAAACTAGAAGTCTTTAGATAGCATTACAGAAATCTATTGCTACCAAAAATACAAGCACTGTATAAAAAGTAGAAGTCTACACTGTGTTTTCTAATTAAAATGGAGCTTTTCTGCTCAGAAAGCGTGCGAAACCTTTAAGCAAAAGTAAGAGTGAATTAACAATAAAGTACACAAAAGCATCAACAATAAGTAATGTTAATAACACCAGTAACATTGCTAACTTAACATTTTCTCTTAAATAAGGTCTCCCAATGTAGTCCAGGCTGAACCAGAACTCACTATGTAGGCCAGGCTTGCCCTGGAATCATCCTCTTGCTTTTGTTTCACAGCTACTGGTACCATAGGCATGTGCAACCAGGCCTGGCTAAAGTCTTAGTTTCTTAATATACAGCAATAACTTCTTATTAACAGAAATACAATTTCTCAGTGTTTGGACCTTCCAAATATGAAACTCTGGTCTTGATATGAACATAATTAGACTTCTGTATGGTTGTATTTTATTTGTACTAAAATGTGATTTTCATTGTATGTTAATAAATAAAGTTGCCCGGGGGGTCAGAGCTATGGTTGGTTACATCTACACTTCTGAGTTAGGCCCTTTTTAGCTATGACTTCTACAAAGTTTACTATGCAGTATTCAATAGGAAGTAAGTTGAGTAACAACTAACTATCAAGGGTGTGTTTGAGTCATCTATCTTCAAGACAACTAAATTTAAATTATAGAGAAGATGTGTAATAAAATATACTGACATTCTACTGGTGTCCATTTATCCTTGGATATATTCAGAGATATATTCAGAAATCAAATCAAATTTATTTGTTTCTATCTTTAAATTTTTAGTTTAGACCAGTCATACCAAAACGTTCAGCTACCTACATTCTATTCCCATAATGATTGATATTTCAGCCCTTCAACGAAAGTAGCATCCTCCCCTGTTTGAGGTAAATGATCTCTTGCAGGCATACCATTTGGATATCTAGAAGAGGTAATTTATCTCAAGTGGGCAAACACTATCGCAAAAGCAAAAAGGTTGCCACCTGTCCAGTATTTATAGAGGCTACATGAAAACTGGGGTCTCTGCCCACTGCCTTATGAATACATCATCAAAGTTTCTGAAAGTAGTGGTCAAACACTGTAAGTACTTTCTAAAATGTGACTTCGCGTTCTCATTATTAAACTTCCAGTTTTGTGAAAAAATAAAAAGTAATGTTAGTTCCATTAAGACATCAGTATACAAGAAAGAGATAAAACAATGGACATTTAGAGGACATTTACATATTCAGAAGATATGTCTAAGCAAGTTACTTTTTTCTCTAACAAACATATTAGCTAGGAGCTCCTATTAGCCAATGTCTTAGTTGTCGTTCATTATTGCTGTAATGAACACTATGACCAAAAGCAACTTGGGAAGGAAAGGGTTTATTTCACTCACAGTTCCATATAACAGTCCATCATCAAAAACAGTGAGGGCAGAAACTCACATAGGACAGGAACCTGGAGGCAGGAGCTGATGCAGAAGCCATGGAGGGGTGCTGCTTACTGGCTTGCTTCCCATGGCTTGCTCAGCCTGCTTTCTATAGAACCCAGGACCATCAGCCCAGGGGTGGCACCACCTACAATGGTCTGGGCCCTCCCCTATCAACCACTAATTAAGAAAATGCCCTACCTACAGGCTTGCCTGTAGCCTGATTTTAAAGAGACATTTTCTTAAAGTCTCTTTATCTTATATGACTTTAGCTTGTATCAAGTTCATATAAAACTATCCAGCACTGCCAGAATTTACACATGAGAATGTTAAGTCTGAAAGGGGACAGAGTCATAAAAATAGCATACAATAGCACACACTCAGATGCCAAATTCTTAGTCAATGTTCAAACACGGTCAAGAGCATATTCTCTCTCCTAGAAGATAGCTTATATATAATTCAGAATTCACTCTAAATGCCTAACTTTTAAAAATAATCACTAATTGAATCGTCTTTAACCTAAGAATAAACACAAGCAATACAGTTATTTAATGTGCTAAGAAGTACTGCTTGATGTTGGCATACATGAGCACAGACTTCCTGGGTCTGCACAGAAGGAAGTCACAGTGATGCTGTCAGTACACAATCCTGATGTTTACAGGAGTTTACATTTCCAGCAAGATCTTGAAAGGGGAGGGGCAGCGGGGAAGTAGCTCAGTGGTGGAGCGCTTACCTCACATGCACAAGACCCTGGGTTTGATCCCAGCACTGAAAAAAAAAGGAGGAGAAAGAAGAGAGAGGGAGTATGGAGAGTCTGGAAGAACACGTAAGAAAATATATAAGCATTAAAATAAATATTCCTGAGTGGTTTTAGTAATCTCCTTTCTATCTTTCAATTTTGCTACTCTGCACACTTCAGGTGTCAAGGTTCTTCCTGTCACAGCACATACAAGTGCTTCCTTTCTTGTGGCCTAATGTGTGTGTCCATCCACTCATGGGCTGGGGATAGTTCAATGTGTGTTCACATTTTTTTTACTATTATTAGTGCTGTGAGCA